CCTCCCTCAGACCCAGGGGTCCAGGCCCCCAGCCCCTCCTCCCTCAGACCCAGGAGTCCAGGCCCCCAGCCCCTCCTCCCTCAGACCCAGTAGTCCAGGCCCCCAGCCCTCCTCCCTCAGACCCAGGAGTCCTGGTCCCCACCCCTCTCTTCCTGTGGGACATAGTTCAGCTTCACTACTTTCATGAATAACATTGACTTTAGGGAAGACATTTCCTTCCTCCTTCCATCCCAACCCTCACCCCCAGGAGAACAAGAGAACGGGGAGGAACTGGGGGACCTGGTCTGGGGGCTGGGAATGGCCAGGAGATGGCCGTCCAAGGCTCAGGTTCAAAACATCCCATTTACTCATTCTTTTCAGGGGCCTGGCTGGGTGACCTTGACAAGTCACTGCTCTTCCCAGAACCTCAGAGTCCTGCCCTGCTGGATGGAGCTGCCACCGTCCCCGGGTTATTAGAATAATAAGGAAGACCCTGGGAGGTGTTAACTCTGCCCAGCACACCAGCAACCTCTAGCTCCTCCTTCCTCCTGGCCTGACTATGTACCCGCTTACCAGGCATAGTCCTCCCTCCTGGCCCCCAGGAGAAGTGCCTCCATCCCCTGTCCCCTGTCCCTCATATAGGCCTCTGAGAACAGTCTCTGAGTCTGCCCCATGTCTGGGGCAGCTGGGGGCTGGAACTTTTAAAAGTGGCTCTGAGCTGCCACCCTCCCACCAGGTATGGCTGCTCCGACCACAGCAGCCAACGCCCTGGCCTCCCAGCCCCCACCTTTGTCACCACCTGAGCTCAGCAATCCCGGAACACTGCCCCACACCGCCGCCTGCTCTTCTTTCTGTGCCTAGAAAAAGGCCAAACTTACTTCAACCCCAGGGCCTTTGCACATGCTGTTCCCTCTTCTGCAATGCTCTTCCGACCAGACTGGCACAAGGCTCTCATTGGGGTCTCCCCTTTAAGAAGGCTTTGCTGATCCTGTTCTGCACAGAACCCCCATTCCTGACCGTCTTTCTGTCCTACCTCGGTTTTGCTTTCTCGGTGGCATTTCCCATTCCCTTATTTCATGGGTTCACGTGTTTATTTTCAGTCAACCTCCCCCCCCACGCCCCACTTCCAGAATGTAGGCTTTGCTAGGGCCGGGTTTTGTGGGGGCCGCCGAGTCACCCAGGAAGCGTCCTCGTCCGTTCTCACCCACGACTCTGCCCCGGATCTGGGGATTCCACCTGCACTTGGCAAGGGGGTTGCCTTCTGAATGGAGACACCTCCTTCTGGCAGGACGTGGGTGTGGAGAGAGGGCGTCCCTTCCATATCTGAGCTGCTAATCAGATTTGCAAACGAGAGGCTTTTCTTGGACCCACGCTGCTTTTTAAAAACGTGGTTTTAATTACCAGCATGCTCGAATCCAGACAGTTCACACTGAAATCTGAATCTCTGGATTCTCCTAAAAAAGAAAAAAAGTCAGAAGATCTGGCAACAACAGAGTCCCCGTTCCTGCCGGGAGGTGGGTGCCAGGGCAGGTGCAGGAGGAGTGGGAGCCGGGTTCCCTGCAGCTGGGCGCCCCCTGCAGGTGGGCACCTGCTCTCCAGGCGGCCCGCCAGGCCCACGGCACTCATTTTGTGACCTGCCTCCGCCTGTGGAGTTCTGAGTTTGCAGACCCTGCACTAGAGTCGTATGAGGTCAGGAGAAGAGGAGCAAGGGCAGGGACCAGGGACCTCGGATTCAGGGGTCCTGAGCAGGGCACAGTCGGGCTGTGTGGCCCGAGGCATTGGGAGCCTCAGTTTCCCTGTGTGCAAAGCAGAGCGTGGAGGATGAGGTCTCAGGGTCCCCAATGCCCCCACAGAGAGACCTCCATTTTTTTGGTTTTGTTTTTCTTTTTCGGTGTTTCAGCCCGTCCTTCCTGCGGGTCTCAGTCTCTGTAGCATGCTGAGGCTGGGTGGGAGGGTGCTGCCCCCATGGCTGTAGGAGGGTCGCTGTCACTCTGGGTTCACAATGCCCGCCACGGCCTCTGCACCAACAAGAGTCCATTTCCTGGTGCTCCAGGTCCTCCGTGTTTCATACCTGCTCCTCGGGGGCACGTTTGACGCGGTGGCCTGGGCTGAATGGGCAAGTGCCTAGCAGTGGCCTCTCATCTTAGTCTGAGATGGAGTCGCGTGCCCCCCGCCTGCCCGCCCCTGCTCTGCAGGTTTGCGCTGGTCTGACTAGGCTGTGGTTCTACCATGTCTGTGAGCCAGGCGTCTGTCACCATCCGTCCTGAGAACCAGATTTGGGCGTTCCCCTGCCCTGGGCAAGTCCCTCCCCCACTCCAGGTCTCCCACCAATGGAGGGACCCCGCCAGCTCCTGGAAGTCTCTGTATGGGCTGAATTGTGTCCCCCCAAATTTATACGATGGGGCCCTAACCCCAGGACCTCAGAATGTGACTGTATTTGGAGGCAGGGCCTTTGAAGAGAAAATTAAGATAAAAGGAGGCCATTAGGGTGGCCCTAGTCCAGTAGGGCTGGTTTCCTTAAGAGGAGAGGAGAGTAGGACACAGATGCAGAGAGAGAGAGAGGGGCCATGTGAGGACAGAGAGAATCTGGCCATCTGCAAGCCAAGGAGGGGCCTCAGGGGAACCCACCCTGCTGACCCTTCATCTCAGACTCACTCTCATCTCACCAGCTTCCAGAATCACGGAAAACTACCTTGTGTTGTGGGAGCCACCTGGTCTGTGGAACGCTGTTCGAGCAGCCTGAGCGCCCTTCCTGGCATTTCCTCTTCTCCCTGGGCTGGGCAGTGATGCCGGGAGGGGGTGGCCTCCTCTGGGGGACAGGGGCTGGGCTTGGGGCTGGGCTGCTGGAAGGGGAGCTCAGCTTGAAGAAGAGACAGAGGCTGTTGAGGCCCAGCCCTGGTGCCCTGTGCTGGCAGCCATGCCTTGGACTGAGCTGGGGGTCCAGGCCTGGGGTCCAGGGCAGAGGGGTCCAGGGGGCCCGGGGCGTCTCTGTTTCTAAAGAGTGCCCGCCGAGGGCCGCAGCAGTGCAGCCGCCTGGCTGGTGGACGGCCTGGGCTCCAGCCGCTCCAGGGACTTCTCTCTGGCCCAGCTCGGGGAGGTTGCGTCTTTAGTCTCCTTGGACCTTTCTGGCTCCTCCAGCAGCTCTGGCTTCTTGAGGATCAGGGCCTCTTCCTCCTTGGGGATCTGACGCTTCACCCACCACTTAAGAATCCTGATTCTAAGGCAACGAACCTTGTGGTTAATGCTGTGACCAACCACCCTTCCCCCCCCCCCCCCCCCCCCCGCTTCCCCTTACCAGACAGAGCCCTGGGTGGAGGTCAGAAGACTGAGTTTTCCTCCATTTTTGGGTTCTGTGACCAGCCCTCCCCTCCCTCCATCAGATGGGGGTACAAACACCCACCTTTTGGCCTGGACCCTCCTCCCAGCCTCTTCCCGGGCCTCCTGCCCCAGAGCTGGCCCCGCCCCTCCCTTGCTCAGTCTTCTCAGAGCTCCAAGAGCCCCCAGGACAAAGTCTCAGCCCTCCCACCTGGTGGCCCTTCATGACTCCATCTTCCCTCTGCTTCCCTCCCAGCCTCCTAATGTCTTCTTAAAATAGACATATTCTTATTGACTGTAGAGAGGAAGGGAGAGGGAGAGAGATGGAAACATCAATGATGAGAGAGCATCATCAGTCGGCTGCCTCCTGCACGCCCCCCACTGGGGATCGAAACCCGCAACCCAAGTGTGTGCCCTGACCGGGAATCGAACCATGACCTCCTGGTTCATAGTGGACGCTCAACCACTGACCTATGCTGGCCGGACAGCCTTTTATTGTCTTGATTTGAGTATAGTGGGCTTCTTTTCCTGGACAAGTCTTTGTGGGCATCTTTATTCTTTCTCTCAGTATTTCTGGGATATTTGCGCATGTCAGTGCACGGAGTGCTTCCTCCGTCTGTACAGCTGTGCAGTGTTCTGCTGTGTGGGCGTGCCATCAATTACCCTGGCAACTGCAGGCCTGCCCTGCTTTTGCCCAGGCTGGTTCTTCCAGAGCTATTTAAAAAAGTACCTTGGAGTTTATTTGTATTTGGCTATGGTGAGGCCAATAGATCAGGAGACAACTGCCATTGAAAAGAGAGTTACAGCCCTAGACTGTTTGGCTCAGTGGATAGAGCGTTGGCCTGAAGGGTGCTGGGTTTGATTCCGGTCAAGGGCATATGCCCGGATTGTGGGCTTGATCCCCAGCAGGGGGCATGCAGGAGGCAGCTGATCAATGATTCTCTCTCATCATTGGTGTTTTCATCTCTCTCTCCATCTCCCTTCCTCTCTGAAATCAATGAAAATATATTTTAAAAAAATGAAAAGAAAAGAGAGTTACAATTCCCAGAAGAGTGGTCATGCCATGCCACACAAGGTCACAGGGGAGGCACTAGGGTCAGTCAGGAGGTGTAAGGAGTAAGGAGGAACTGTGGCTAGGAGCTTTCCTTGTGGTTTCCATGGGAACGAACACGGCAGGGTAAGCAGACTTTGGATAGGCTCATCAAAGTACCTTGCCCATGTGAGCATGGCTATTGGTCCAGGATGGGCCTGTGACTCGCAGGGACAACCAGCATCACTTCTGGGATTGATCTATCACCAAGAGAAAGACAGGTTCTCTCTCGGCTGGTTGCTAAGCTAGGAGGATGTGCACTTGGGGCTGCTGTGGGCCATCCTGCCCACTAGGTGGAGAGAATCTCCAGAGATGGGGACAGGCTCTTGAGGACGTCATTTGCGTGCCTGGATCCAGTCAGGCCTGAAGCACAGATACTTCCTGTTGTGGGCTGAATTGTGTCCCTGCCCTCAAATCCATATGTGGAAGGTCCAACTCCCAGTACCTCCGGATGTTACTATTTGGGGGTAGGGCCTTTAAATGAGATCTTATGAATGGGCCCTACTCCATATGACTGTAGTACAGTTGACTCTTGAACAATGGGGGTTTGAACTGTGTTGGTCAATCGAAATCTGCGTATAAGTGGACCCACATAGTTCAAACCTGTTGTTCAAGGGTCAATCAACTGTGCTTGGAGATGGTGATTAACTGGAGTCCTAATCCAATATGACAGGAGTCTTTATAAGAAGAGGGAGAGACAGCAGGGGCATGTGTGCACAGAGGAATAACCATGCGAAGAGGCAGCCAGAGGTCCGCCATTTACAAGCCGAGGGGAGAGGCCTTAGGAGAAACCAACCCTGCTGACACTTAAATCTTGGACTTCCAGCCTCCAGGGCTATGAGAAAACAAGTCTGACACTTAACATGTGGTCCCTACATTCCTGCGGCAGATTAAAAGATGGCTGCAGATTTTTAGTGCTCCTCCCATGGAGAGCTAGGGTCTGCTTCCTCTCCCCTTGAACCTTGGCTAGCCTATGACTGTCAGAATATAGCTGAAGTGATACTCGGTCAATTCCAGGCCTCACCGTAAAGACAACTGGCAACTTCAGTCTTGGAAGAGATAAGAGGCCCTAGGCAACAGGGAAAGGGACAGGGGTTCAGCTGTGCCCAGCCTTCTGGCTGTCCCCCATCAAAATGCCAGGGATGTGAGTGTAGGCCTTCTGGACCCTCCTGCGCAGCCCAGCTGCTAGCTGAATACTACACCAGGTGACGTCAGTGGATGCCAAGGGAAGCAGACGAATCATCCAGCTGGACCCTACCCAAACTCCTGACCCATGAAATTATGAGAAACACTAAAATGATCATTGTTTAAAGTCACTAGTTCTGGGGGTAGTGACATAGCAAACGATAGCCAGAACTGTTCTCTTTTCCCTTGAACTTGTAGAGTTCTGCTCTTTTTTTTTAAAAACATATTTTTATTGATTTCAGAGAGGAAGGGAGAGGGAGAGAGAGATAGAAACATCAATGATAAGAGAGATTCATTGATCGGCTGCTTCCTGCACACCCCCTACTGGGGCTTGAGCCTACAACCTGGGTGTGTACCCTGACCAGGAATTGAACTCTGACCTCCTGGTTCATAGGTCGACGCTCAACCACTGAGCCACGCCAGCCGGGCAAGAGTTCTGCTCTTACTGCTCACAATGGGAACCGTCCTGTCTAATGCGACTTGTCTCCCTCAACTGCCAAGGAGCCATCACCCCCCAAAACATTTCCACCTCTGAAACTTTCAGTCCCAATATCTCATGATCTGCGTAGTTCCAGTCCCTCAAGTTTTCTTGTGCTTTCCTTCCAATCCGGTGTTCCTGCTCTTTGATCTCATGGGTGGAAGCTTCATTCCCAAGACATCACATGCTCCAGCATCTATCTTGGTTTCACTCCTTCCCTACCCCTACTCCTTGCCTCCCTTGCCACCCATATAACCAGCCTTTGATAGCACTCTGCCTACAGGGATCCCAACCTGGATCAATGCCACCATCTCTTCTTTATCTTCCATTAACTGTGCCTGGGAGGAAACGTCCCCCGGTAATGACAGGTGGTTCCATAGACAATGAATAGGCTCCAGTCACCATTGGATCTCCACTGCTGCTCACTAACGGTCTTCCTTGTCATTGTACAGACCCCATGTATTCCCCTCAGTGGCTACTGCAACCACGCCTAACACCATCACCACTCTGCTTAAGTTCCCTACTCCTTACCCCTGCTCTGACCACATCACCTTCAGCAGACGGCTCTGCCAAAGCCTGTTGCTGTGAAAGGAAGACACTGGGTAGGAGGGCATCACCCCACCCGCCCAAATCATAAATGCCAGCTAAAGATGAACAAGAGGGACGCAGAACGTCTGCTATTGGATTTTGAGAATAAGGATAACTGATTGCTTTAGACCAGTGGTTCTCAACCTTCTGGCCCTTTAAATACAGTTCCTCATGTTGTGACCCAACCATAAAATTATTTTCGTTGCTACTTCATCACTGTAATGTTGCTACTGTGATGAATCATAATGTAAATATCTGATATGCAGGATGGTCTTAGGCGACCCCTGTGAAAGGGTCGTTCGACCACCAAAGGAGTCGCGACCCACAGGTTGAGAACCGCTGCTTTAGACAGTGCCACTTTCGTGGCATGGTGCTGGAGAGCAGATGGCAGTGGATTGAAGAGTGTAATGGTAATGAGGATCCGGAAATAGGGGCAAGCTATTCTTTCAAAACAAAATATTTGGCCCAGCTGGCGTGGCTCAGTGGTTGAGCGTTGACTGACCTATGATGCAGGGCATATGCCTGGTTCGCAGGCTCAATCCCCAGTGTGGGGCGTGTAGGAGGCAGCCAATCAAAGATTCTCTTTCATCATTGATGTTTCTACCTCTCTCTCCTTCTCCCGTCTTCCCTGAAATCAATAAAAAAATATTTAAACAAACAAGCAAATATATTTAAAAAAATATTTAAACAAAACAAAACATTTGATGGTATATAGAGGGAGTTTGTATCCCTTCTTCTCTGAAATCAATAAAAAAAATATTTAAACAAACAAGCAAAACAAAACAGAACATTTGATGGTATATAGAGGGAGTTTGTGGGGCTCAGGTGGGAAAGATTTGGGCATGTTTATATTATCCTTCAGAGAAAGAGCCAGTAAAAAAAGAATGATTGAAAATCTAGGAGAGAGAAGGGATGATTAATCAAGTGTGGGGGAGATGGATTCCCAAGCAGAGGAGGTGGGGCTGACTTCAGACAAGGAGAGGAATGCCTCTTTCTCTGAGAAAGACCAGGAGTGAATCATCAGGACGAATGGCAACAACTTTGTAGATGTTGGGAGTTGCTTTTTTCCTGTGAAGTATAGGTAAAACTTACTGTTGAGAGTGAGAGGGGAGGAGATAAGAGAGCTGTGGAAAAAAGAAACAGATTTATAATACTGACAGAGTGCTAGGTTGGAGGGGGCTGACCAGGAATAAGTTGAAGCATTTCTGGGAAGTACTGATGCTCTGTCCCCACTTAAGGATGGAAATGTTGAAGGGATAGGGTTCCCTTAGTATCTTCCTTGAATAGACCTTCTAACCGAGTACTTGTTTACTTGTATATGTCCCTGGAAAATACAAAACTACAGGGTAAGATAAAAAAAAAGATTGAAAGAAAGTTTGACAAGTATCGTATGAGAACCCCATAGGGAAGGGGAAGGGCAGAGGCAATATATAAAGAACCAAAGATTGAGAATTTTTCAAAATTTATAAAAGACACCAAAAAAACACAAATTAAAGATGCCCCAAAATATAAATAACAGCAAACAAATGAACATATAAAGATATCCATACTTAGTCATATCAGGGTGAAAGCATTATTAGTGTGAAGACTCCAAAGCTCAGATGGCTATGGGAGACATTAAAAGGTACCCAACCCAGGTGCCAGGGAAGGTTTCCTAGAGCTCATGATGGAAGAGCTATGAGCTGAGTACTAAATGATGAATAAACATCGGCCAGGTAAGAGAAGGGAACAGAAATGGGAGACTAAGTGTAGAGAGGCTCACCAAGCAGAAGTCACAATACAGCTCAAGAAGATTGAAACAACATGATTAATTAACTTGATTTAAAGCATATTTAAAGCATGATTAATTAACTCGATTTAAAATACTGAATTCAACAAGTGTAGATTATTTCCAAACTGATATGAAATATTTATAAAAACTAAACAAAAATTGTGCCAGACAAAGAAAACAAAAAACTGAAATCATGCATTGTATATAGTCTCTGAACTGACTAGATTTAAGCTAGAAATAAAGAAATAAGGGTTATTAGAAATTGTTGATGTATCTAAAAATACCGTTGGATCAAAAACTTATAATGGAAATTAAAATGTTTTAACTAAGTGGTAATAAAATATTTTATATTAAAATTTGTGAGATGAAGCTAAAGTTATTCTCAGAGGAAAATTTATGGCCTTAAAGGCAATTATTGGAAAAGAAGAATGACTGAATTTAATAATAGAAGTCCGTAGCAAGAGGGTAGACACAATAGAATAAATTGGAGGAATTATAAGGAAGTACTTAAAGTACAAAAATAAGTCCCTGTCAGTGTGGCTGAATTGGTTGAGCATCATCCATGCACCAAGAGGTCACCGATTAGATTCTGGATGAGGGCACATACCCAGGTTGTAGGCTTGACCCCCAGTAGGGGACGTGTAGGAGGCAGCTGGCCAATATTTGTATCTCTCTCTCCCTTCCTTTCTCTCTAAAAAAATCAATAAAAACATATAAAACAAATGAGTAAATAAATAAGTGTATTAGGTTTTGGGAAAGGCACGCTGATAAGCTTTAACTTGATACTCACACAAGAAGGACAAGGAAGAAGTAGAATAGTGCTGGAATAATGACTCCATACACGATGCCCTGGATCAGCCCTTTCACAAACAATATGGAATCTGATCTTTCATCTGGAATCAGAGGGAAGCAAGCGTGTTGTTGTTTTTTCTCCTGAGGCTGTGAAGTCTGAGATGCTCTTCCTCCTTTTGTCCCCGTGCCCATCCTCATCCCAGTCCCCTAGGTCTTGTCATTCTAGCCCAGTCACTAGACCCCTGTGTACTGACCTGGTACCAGGAAGATGCTGGCCTCTTGGATTCCATATTTGTTCTTCCCCTCGCAGTGAAGGCTCATGACTGTTTCTGGCTTCCCAATGAACTCGATGGTGCTGTTGGCCCAGGGGGCAGCTATGGTGGTCGCCACCTGGAAGGCGCCACTCATGTTTTTCAGTCTCACAGGAACACCTCCCATAAGCCACTGCACGACGGGTGTGGGGATACCATAGAAAGAGCAGTTGCACTGCGGCTTCTTCTTCAAGGAACACACGTAACGGGACAGCGTGGCGGGTACTGTGGGGAGGGAGGGCCAGGAGTCACCGAGGCACCCTGATTTCCCTTTTCCACTGCCTCCAGGACCCAGCCTTCTCCTCATTTATGATTCAAAAGGAGCTGCGGCAAGACTGTCTGGAAGCTCAGAGGGGCTGGAATTCAGAGCAGTTCTCCTTCCAGCCTCTCTCCTCATCTTTCTCAGACTTGGGCTCAGCTCTTACCTCTGACCTTTCAGCCCCAGAGGCCAGGGGAAGATGTGACTGCTCCCCAGAGGTCCCTTCCCTTCCCATGAGGCCTCGGGGGTTTCCTCTTGGGGTTATCATTTCTCTCAGACTCTGGATCTTCCCTTGCCCACCAGCACTCACTGATCATTGGGAACTTGACAGCTGTCGAGTTAGATAGAGGGAAGTTCAAGTAACATTGCAGTGCGGCGCCATGGTCCTTAGGCTTTGGTGTGAAGTGCAGCATGGAAGAAGAGACGGAGGAGTTTCTGGAGCCTTTGGGGTTGAAGGACATGGCAGGTTCTTTCCAGGAGAGGAAACGGGCTTTGGCTTCTATGCAGGAGCTTCTGATGGTGCAGGTCAAGGTCACAGACGCTCTGGCCATAGGAATATCTGGAATGTAGAGCTCTGGTTTTTGAGTCAGGTCTTGAGGGACAGAGATGTGTTGTACCCAAACCTTGGGGACAAGGGACCCTCACAGACACGTCACTGATGCCTAGCGTTTTCAGGTTACAAAGTGCTTTCCCACCCATTAGCTCATTTAATGCCCCTCCCCCATTCCTCCAACCTCATGGGACCTGGATAGCTTTGCATAAGCATATTTGTTTTCTCTGCATGAAAGGAGCATCCCCCACTGTCTAGGTGAGCAAACTGAAGAGACTTGCTGAAGGTCTCGAGCCTGAACTTGAGCCTGAACCCAGTGAATTTCCTAAGGATCTAGATCTCCTATGATCCCTTGTCCGTCCCCCAGCCCGGACTTCCTAGGCCAGCTCATACTCTGCCTCCCTCCTTCCCAATCCAATTCTCCCTGTAGGCTCTGCCCCTTCCAAGCTTGATCATTTGTGCCTCCAGCTTGCTGCTGCTGGGTAAGTCACTTTCTCTCTCTTTGCCATTTTGATTCAGAAAAAAAATAAAGATTTCAACTGTACCTGTCTCTTTGTCTTATTGTTGTAAAAATTAAATCACTAAGTTGTTTTTTTTTTTTTTTAAGCCCAGTGCCTGGTGAGGTAGACGCTGCACAATTACTAGAACCCCTTCTGGAGTTCCTCCTTTCCAAACCACCCATTGCATGAGACTGAACGTCACCTGACAGGAAGAGTGTGATGTTCTCCCGCAGGAAAGCAGCCTTTTGTTCATGAAGATCTGCAGGGGACAAGTATGTCGCGTTGTCCCTTTTGAGGGCATTGCGGATCAGCAGGGTACAGTCTCGTTCTTCAAGATTCCAAAGGATGTGGAATCTCCCGTTGCTGTGGTCATCTATGATAACATTGGACTTATTGGTGGCTACAGGGGCGCTGATGTTTTTGTTGAGCCAGTAGCCCATGATCACGGAACTGCCCAGAGGTTCTTTGGGAAATGCTAATCTGCAGGGGACTGTGGTGCACAGGTTCTCTTTCACTGGTATCTTCGTGGCTCCCATCAAAGCAGGAGAAAGTAACCCTGTGGGGGAGAGATACAAGTTGAAAACAGACTCACCTAGTGTGTCCCAGTGTCCCAATGGCGCATTAAAGGATTGACCGTATCCTAGAATGGTTTGGCCATTGCCCAGATCCTGGGAGGTGATTTCCAAGCCCTTGGAATATCCTGGCTGATGAGTGTCTCTTGGTTTACCTGAGGCCTTGGGCCACAGTCAGACAGTATATGCTAACAATGCGATTGATGGTGGGGGCCTGGGGGCACACGGTATCATCTTGACTTCTGGAGGGGCTGGAGGCTAAGGTTGGCCATGGGGGTGGTCAGCCATGCCTATAAGACTCCCTCCCGCCCCCAAGAAAAACCCTAGACACCAAGCCTCAGTGAGTTTCCCCGGTTGGCAATACCATGCGTGTTGCCACCCATTGTTGCTGGGAGAAGCAAGCACTGTCCACACAGCTCTACTGGGGGAGACAACTGGAAGCTCATACCTGTTCTCTCCTAGACCCTGCCCCATATGCCTCTTCCCTCTGCTGACTTTAATCTCTTATTCTTTTGCTTTAATAAACTGTAACCATGAATATAACCATTCTGCTGAATTCTGTGAGTCCATCTTGTGAATCATGGAACCCGAGGGTGGTCTTGGGGACTCCCAAACTGCACCAACATAATGTCATCTGCTGTTTTTTGTTTTGTTGCTCTTGATATTGGTAGTAACTGTAACTTGTGACCTTGGTCTCTTTCCAGGAGAGAAAGCGGGCTTTGGTTTCTATGCAGGAGCTTCTGACGGTGTAGGTCAACTCACAGGCTCCCCGGCCATAGGAATATCTGGAATGTAAAGCTCTATTTTTTGTTTTAATCCTCACCCAAGGATATTTTTCCATTGATTTTTAGAGAGAGTGGGAGAGAGAAAGACAGAGAGAAACATCAATGTGAGAGAAACACTTCGATTGGTTGCCTCCTGCGTGAGCCCCGACCAGGGTCTGGGCCAGGGAAGAGGCTGCAACCGAGGTACGTGTTGGGGGAGAGATACAAGTTGAAAACAGACTCACCTAGTGTGTCCCAGTGTCCCAATGGCGCATTAAAGGATTGACCTTGTCCTAGAAAGGTTTGGCCATTGCCCAGATCCTGGGAGGTGACCTCCAAGCCCTTGGAATATCCTGGCTGATGAGTGTGTCTTGGTTTACCGGAGACCTTGGGCCACAGTCAGACAGTATATGCTAACAATGTGATTGATGGTGGGGACCTGGGGGCACACGGTATCATCTTGACTTCTGGAGGGGCTGGAGGCTAAGGTTGGCCATGGGGGTGGTCAGCCATGCCTATAAGACTCCCTCCCGCCCCCAAGAAAAACCCTAGACACCAAGCCTCAGTGAGTTTCCCCGGTTGGCAATACCATGCGTGTTGCCACCCATTGTTGCTGGGAGAAGCAAGCACTGTCCACACAGCTCTACTGGGGGAGACAACTGGAAGCTCATACCTGTTCTCTCCTAGACCCTGCCCCATATGCCTCTTCCCTCTGCTGACTTTAATCTCTTATTCTTTTGCTTTAATAAACTGTAACCATGAATATAACCATTCTGCTGAATTCTGTGAGTCCATCTTGTGAATCATGGAACCCGAGGGTGGTCTTGGGGACTCCCAAACTGCACCAACATAATGTCATCTGCTGTTTTTTGTTTTGTTGCTCTTGATATTGGTAGTAACTGTAACTTGTGACCTTGGTCTCTTTCCAGGAGAGAAAGCGGGCTTTGGTTTCTATGCAGGAGCTTCTGACGGTGTAGGTCAACTCACAGGCTCCCCGGCCATAGGAATATCTGGAATGTAAAGCTCTGTTTTTTGTTTTAATCCTCACCCAAGGATATTTTTCCATTGATTTTTAGAGAGAGTGGGAGAGAGAAAGACAGAGAGAAACATCAATGTGAGAGAAACACTTGGATTGGTTGCCTCCTGCGTGAGCCCCGACCAGGGTCTGGGCCAGGGAAGAGGCTGCAACCGAGGTACGTGTCCTTGACCAGAATGAAACCCAGGACCCTTCAGTCCACAGGCTGACGCTCTATCCACTGAGCCAAACTGGCTGGGGCTAGAACTCTGGTTTTTGAGTAAGTGTGTATAGATTTCCAAGTGCCTTCATAGAAATCAGCTTAAGCCATTCTCATAATAGTTTTATTACTTATAGACATATGGGGAAACTGAGGTTCAGAGAGATTAAGGACCTAGTCCCATGTAATAGAGAAAGAGGTAACATCATCAGGCCCGGGCCCCAGCTCTTCACACATGAAGTCTGCTACTCTGACATCACATCTGTGGGTCTTGACACACTTGGTTCTGGGCCACTGTGCTGTGTCTCTTCTCTAAGATTTGACCTGATAATGCTCACCATACAGGATAATGTTGAGAGAGCAGATGTGGGTACACTTATCATCTTGGTTCTAGAGTGGCAGGGGCCTGGCATTAAAATGGAACTAGGAGTCAGAAGAGTTGGGCTCCGCCAGCAAAATTTCCAGGGACTTTGGGCAAGTTGCTCAATCTCTCAAAGCCCATGTCCTCATCTGTCAAATGGGCATAATAACTCCTCTGGGGGAGGTTGGGTAGATGAAATGAGACACGTGGTGGGTCACAACGCCAATCACAGAATGTGCACATGGGATTCTTTTTAAAATAAAATATATTTTATTGATTTTTTTACAGAGAGGAAGGGAGAGGGATAGTTAGAAACATTGATGAGAGAGAAACATCGATCAGCTGCCTCCTGCACACTCCCTACTGGGATGTGCCCACAACCAAGGTACATGCCCTTGACCGGAATCAAACCTGGGACCCTTCAGTCCACAGGCTGACACTCTATCCACTGAGCCAAACCGGCCAGGGCCATGGAATTCTTTATTACTTATTTATCACGTACTTAATTCTTTTAGGTCCTCACCACTTTTCCCAACTTCAGCCTTTCTCATCTTCCATCACCCCTCAGCTCCAGCCCAGAGCATTCTTGGCTTCCTGAGATACCCCCCACCCTGCCTCTCCTTCCACTTACCCAGCCATAACAGCGGTAGTGCCATCAGCATCAGCGGGATCTCAGGGACACGAGAGGACCAGCATCTATGCTGCTGCTAACTCTGATCTCAGGTCCATATGTCCTGGAGGGAAGGATTGGGAATGGGTGAGGAGGAGTGTAGCAGTGAGAGACATGGGGTGGGGTAGAAATAGACTCATGTCTTAGTAGCGGCTATTGTCTCTTCCATCACCCTTAAGGGCTGTTCATCTTGTGAATGGGGAGCTTCATTTAAACAACCACCAGGAGCTTCAGGAAGAGAGTGCCCATGACTCTCTGTGGTTGGCAAACCGTGGCTCGTGAGCCACATGCGGCTCTTTGGCCCCTTGAGTGTGGCTCTTCCACAAAATACCGACTTCTGCGCATGGGCCACGAAGTTTCAATCGCACTGTATGTGCGAGCCCGCACGTGGTATTTTGTGGAAGAGCCACACTCAAGGGGCCAAAGAGCCGCATGTGGCTCACGAGCCACGGTTTGCCAACCACTGCCCTACACCATGTCTGCTTTCTTCTCTCTCCTAGCATCTTCACTCGCCTCCTTCCTCCTTTAAAGGACCTCAAATGCCAGGCTGAGGAGCTTGGTCTCTCTCCCAAGTCAGTGGGGACGTAATGCAAATCACAGCAAGGTTTTGAACCACGGGGAGCAGCTTTGGGCATTATAAAGGTTCCTCTGGGTGTGCACTGAGAAGGACACAAGAGCTCAGGACAAAGATGACGTGGCCTCAGCTGGCACGGTGGCTGCGGGGGTAAGAAGGTGGGATATACTTAGGATATTTGCACACACACACAAAGGCATTTCTATGGCTGACGGGGTAAATTCCAAACTCCCTTGCTTTGCATTCAAGCTTTCCATGATTTTGCCCCACACTTGCTCTATCTCCACCCCCCTCCCTACACCTATGCCATTATTTGCATGTGAAAGAGGCAAAAAGGTACCCATTCCAGCCTGTCCAGTGTGGTTCAGTAGTTGAGCGTGGACCTATGAACCAGGAGGTCATGGCTTAATTTCAGGGCGCATGCCTGGGTTGCAAAACATCGGTATTCCAGGGAAGAAGGGGGCGTGCAGGATGTAGCCAATCAATGATTCTCTCTCATCATTGATGTTTCTCTCTTTCTCTGTCCCTCTCCCTTTTCCTCTTAAATAATATATATGTATTTTAAAAAAGGGACCCATTCCAAACATATGCCATACATTCCTACCTCTGTATGTTTATTTGGGCCATTCCTCTTGTCGTGGCAACCTTCTGCAACTCTCTCCTCTGCCTACATTCAAATCCTACCACTCCATTCAAGCCTAGATCAAATGGGACTTCCTCATACTAGCGTCCAAGGATATCCACAACCAGAAAGCCGTCTTTCTCTGACTCTTCAGCTCCCTATCTGTCCATACCTTTTTACGGCAATGTCTCAGGCTGTCCCCAAGAGTTTTCTACATGATATCAACCCTCCTGTGCCTCATTATTCCAAATTTATTCAGGTGATCAAGTCCCTAGCTCTTTAAAAAACAAACCTGTATTTTTTCCCTGCCTTTTTTTGTATTTAGGGGTGGCCATGCAGCTACTGAGTCAAATTCAAGAAAAATGCTATTAAATTATCAGGATATAAAAGCCTATTCAACCCTAGCTGATTTGGCTCAGTGGATAGAGCTTCGGCTTGCAGGCTGAAGGGTCCCAGGTTCAATTCTGGTCAAGGGCACATGCCCGGGTTGTGGGCTCAATCCCCAGTAGGGGGCGTTCGGGAGGCAGCCAATGAAATAATTCTCTCTCATCCATTGATGTTTCTATCTCTCTCCCACTCCCTTCCTCTTTGAAATCAATAAAAATACATAAAAACTATTCAGCCTTTTACACCCTTTTTCTTTTTGCCATCACAATTGAGATCTGAATATCTGTTTTAGGATTTTTTTTTTGTATATACTATTAACTAATAAAATTCCAGAGCTTAGTTTTTTCTAAAAAAAAAAAAAACTACATGTT